TGCTGGTTTTATTTCTTTGAAGATAATTTCTGGTTTACCATTGATACTTTAAAACAAAGAAAAAAGAAGAGTGAATGGAAACACTCTACATGTGAGCAGGCCTTCCTGACTGGAATACTTTGCTTTAGGTCAGATGAAAAACAAAGAATCAGCCATTAAACAGGCTATATATTATATAGGGAATTCCCTAAAAGCTAGAATGAGGAGGGCTTACCTGCAGACACAAATGTCTGCAATGGCAATGCTACTTTTCCTTTAGTGTTGTCTTTGTTTTCATTTACAGAAGAAATAATCTCTGTATATTCTGATGTGAAAGAGAGATAGGAGTGAGTTAAGAAACGGAGTATTACAGGGACTGTCACTGTGCATGGGTTTGAGTGGGAAAGGAACACAATTATTCCATACGTCAATTATTTCTCCCATCTCATTTTCAACCATCCTTTGTCTCTGACCTTTTCAATCCCAAGTTTCTCTGAGATTCTATTGAATATATCAGAATCTTCCTTTGCTGCAACCCCTTCTTGAATATTTTGGGACACAATTTTCTGTTATAATCTGTTTCATCCATCATTACTCTTTGTCTCTCTCAGAAATGTGTTGTAATCTCTTGTCTACTGAAGATACTCTGCTTCCCCTTCAATATGATGTTTATTCTTTGTTCTTTAGTATTATTTTAATATTGTCTCGGCCGGGCACGGTGGCTCACGCCTGTAATCCTAGCACTGTGGGAGGCCGAGGCAGGCGGATTGTTCTGAGCTCAGGAGTTCGAGACCAGCCTGAGCAAGAGCGAGACCCCGTCTCTACCAAAAAATGGAAAGAAATTAATTGGACAGCTAAAAATATATGTAGAAAAAATTAGCTGGGCATGGTGGCGTGTGCCTGTGGTCCCAGCTACTCAGGAGGCTGAGACAGTGGGATCGCTTGAGCCCAGGGGTTTGAGGTTGCTGTGAGCTAGGCTGACGCCACGGCACTCGCCCCAGGCAAGAGAGTGAGACTCTGTCTCTCAAAAAAAAAAAAAAAAAAAAATTGTCTCCAAGGAGAGAGAAGACAAACACACATGGTCAGATCTACATCTATCACAGCAAATATAAGTCATTGTAAGTCAATTATTTCTAACAATTATTCTCATCCTTTTAGACAACCTGATATAAATAAACAACAAATTTTCCAAAGTCTATGAAGCTACTATTCAATTCATGCACCCATTTGGTCAAGAAAAATTTCTGATAATACAGATGCCATTTTAGACAATAAGAAACCAAGAAAGCAAGAATATACTATGGGTTCTTTTAAGGCAGGGTCTAGCTCTTCCATGGAAGAGACATAATTAAGAAAAACAGTCACAATAAAGTATGTATTATCCTTTATATACTCCCTTAAAAGATTACATACTAGTTACATAAAAATTTCTTAATAGTGGTAACAAACTCAAAAACAGCCCCAGGAACACTAAAGAATATTTTCTTATGTTTGCCAAACTTCTAATTATTAATATTTAGGCTCTATTTTGCAATAAGGTGAGTATTTCTAACCTACCTATAGTACTTGTATTGTCTCATATTATGTTACAGTTCTTCACAGCATTTAATAAACAGGTGCTCCTTAGGAAATATAACAACCCAAATAGCTAAGCTCTCCTAGAGAATGTAAATTTAGACACTTGTGAAAAAAAATTCACTTTTGAGAATTATTTCTTGATCCTTATAGAAATACTGCTGCCTGGCTGACAGCGCTTTCAGAAAAATAGCTCAAATAAGCAAACAGGGTTATTATAAGTTAAAGAAAAAAGAAAAGATATGAAAAAAAAGAACAAAAGAAAGAAAGAAAGAAGGAAAGATGAGGTAAAGAATAACACTAATTTTTCTTATAAAGTAAAAAGAAATAAAAACAGATAAAGTACTATAGCTTAATGGGACAAATAACAATTTACCACTGGAAGAGACCCTAGGGAATCACTCCTTTCTTTGCAAAGATTAAGGAAACTGAGACCCAGAAAAAAGGAATGACTTACCCAAGTTCACAAATAATTTACGTAAGATCACAAAACTCAGTTAGTAAAACCTGAAATAGACTGTAAGTTTTCTAACTCTTAGTTGACACCTATTTAATATTTTAATTAAAGCAATCAGGGCTGGGCACGATGGCTCACACCTGTAATCCTAGCACTTTGGGAGGTCCAGGTGGGAGGATCACTCAGGGCCAGGAGTTCGAGACCAGCCTGAGCAAGAGCAAGACCTCGTTTCTACAAAAAATAGAAAAATTAGCCAGGTGTGGTAGCACCTGCCTGTAGTCCTAGCTACTCTGGAGGCTGAGGCATGAGGATGGCTTGAGCCCAGGAGTTTGAGGTTGCAGTGAGCCATGATGATACCATAGCACTCTAGCCCAGGTGACAGAGCAAGATTCTGTCTCCAAAAAAAAAAAAAAGAAAAAGAAAAAAGAAACCTCAATTACAACAATCAAATGAGAACTACTTCATCTCTGAAGCCACTTCCACCTGTATCTATCCAATACTCTTTGCCCTCCCAACCCTGCTAAAACTGAAGAAGTATTTCTGCTCCTTTTTAAACCTAAATCTTTTTACTTGTCTTCTTCCCCATACCATTTCTCAATGTCCAAGATTGTGCTCCTGCAATTGTGCCCTCTCTACAGGATCATTCCTATCAAAGAGGCTACAATGAAGCTGATACTTGACTCCATGTCCTATCGCATCCACAACCCAGTTTCTCTACTCCAGTTTTCCAATAAAACTTTTTTGAAGAGTAATCTATAATCTAGAACATTATCTCTACTTCTTTTCCAACCATTTTCTTTTGAACCCACACTAGTCAGGTTTTTATCCCCACTACTCCACTGAAACACCTTTTGTCAAAATCAATGACATTCATCTTCCTAAATCCATTAGCCGATTTCCTATCCTATTCCTGCTTGACCTACAGCAGTGTCTGACACAACCAGCAGTGTCTGACACAACCAACCATTTCCTCCTTCCTAAAACATTCTCTTTTCCTACTTAGTTTCCATAGCCCTCTACTTTCCTGGTTTTCTTACTACCTCACTGGCTGTCTTTTCTCAGTCTCCTTTATTGAATCTGCCTCCTCTTCCTGATCTCTAAGCACATGTTGGCCCTCGTTTCTTCATCTACACTCTCCCCTTAGGTGATCTCATCTGGACCTCATTTACCCTTTCAGGTTCATATATATTCACCTTCCTACTTGACAACTCCATTTGGATATCTAAAAATCATTTCAAATTTACATGTTCCAAACTGAAATCTGTCCCCTTTCCACCTCTACTCTTTCCTACCTTTCTGATCTCATTAAATGGTACATCCATCTACTAAATTACTCATGACACAAATCTAAGGATTATCCCAGATTCCTTCTGCCCTCACATCGCACATCCAAACCGTCCCTAAAACCAGACAATTTAATCTCCAAAATATGTTCCAGATCTGACCATTTCTTACCATCCACTGCTACTGCCCTAGTCCAGGCCATGTTTCCTCACTTGGACTTCTGCAATAGCCTCCTAAATTGATATCCTGTTTTCATCCTTGTTTTCCCCCCAGCTCTTCCCATAGCAATCAGAAAAAGTGACTTGAAACAGAGATCAAATAGCACTGTTCTCTTACTTAATACATTTCAATGGTCTCCTATGGCCATCAGATTCCTTAACCAGGCCTGCAAACTCAATCTAGCCCTTCTGCCCACTTCTCCATTCTTATGTCATGCCATTCTTCCCCTCATGTCTTTTTTCAGGCAAACTTGCCTTCTTTTGCCCCTCCAACATACCATGCTTGTTACCAACTCACAGCCTTTGCACTTGCTGCATGCTCTACCTAGAACATCACAAAGGTGGCTCCTCCTCTTCTTCCTGTTCTCAGCACAAATGTCACCTTCAAGGATGGCTCCCCTGACAATTCTATTTAAGTGAACCCAGTCATATTATCCTATTATTCTGCTTTAATTTTTTCATAGACCTTGTTACTACTGGAAATAATCTTATATTTCTTGTCTTACCCCTCCTGCTAAATGTAAGACCTATGAGAACAGAAATCTTGTCTGTCTAGTTCACCACAGTAACCACAACACTAATTCATTAATTATTTGTGGAATGAATGATTATTCTATAATTTTATTTCAAACAGAATAGTAATGGTTTCATTTTATAAAATTTCCCTTTTTATTTTAAAGGA